TAGTCCAGGCTGGCCTCGAACTCACAGAGATCCGCCTGGCTCTGCCTCCCGAGTGCTGGGATTAAAGGCGTGTGCCACCACCGCCCGGCCTGATATTTGTCTTTTTTAGTTCATCTTACTTTTTATGTGTAAGGGTGTTTTGCCTTCGTATATGTTTATGTACCATGTGCATGCAGGCCAGAAGAGGGCATCAGATTCCCGAGGACTGGAGTTAAAGACGGTTGTGAGCTGCCATGTGAATGCCAGGAATCAAAACACCCCAGGTCTCACTGCATGCCTTTAATCCCAGCACTTGTGAGGCAGAGGAGGTGCATCTCAGTGAGTTCGAGGCCAGCCTGGTCTACAAAGTGAGTCCAGGACAGCCAGGGGGCTACACAGAGAAACCCTGTCTGGAAAAAACAAAACAACAACAAAAAACCCCAGTGTCTCTGGAAGCACCCAGTGCTCGTACTAACTGGGCCGTCTCTGTAATCTTTTTGTCTGACCTATTTCATGTCACATAATGTTTTCAGAGTTCACCCATCTTATACCAGAATTTTGTTCTCTTTTAAGACTGAGAAAATATCCCATTATATGCACATTCCTTATTCTGTCAGTTAACACACCTGCTGATAGACACGGTACGGTTTTCTCCTGTTGGCTGCTCTGAGTGACCAGCCAGCTCCATCTTCAATCTTTGCGGCAGGTATGGTGGTGCACACCTTTTAATCCCAGCACTCATGAGGCAGAGACAAGTGTATCTCAGTGAGTTTGAGGTTAGCCTGGTCTACACAGAGTGTTCCAGAACAACCAGAGCTACACAGAGAGACCCTGTCTCAAAAAGGGGGTGGGTGGGCTAAAGACATTTTCTTCTTCTGTTCCAGAGGCCTCAGTGTCAATACGGGTCAGCCAGGCACCATAACAATGACCACAGTGGCAAATTTTAGCCTAATTGAGCACTCACCAGGAAGTACTGTAAGGATTTACATCCACTGTATCATTCAATTCAAACGTCAATGTCAGGGCTGGAGCGATGGCTCAGTGGCTAAGAGCACTGATTGCTCTTCCAGAGGTCCTGGGTTCAATTCCCAGCACCCACATAGCAGATTCCAACTGTCTGTACCTCCAGGGTCCACCACCCTTACACAGATATACATAAAGGCAAAACAGCAGTGCTGATAAAATAAAATTAAATTAGTTAAAATGTCAATGTCTCCACTTCATGGAAAAGCATCTAAGTTAATAAATAGTGGAGCCTGGATTTAAATCTGCATGCTCTTTGTCTCTACAGCCTTGGCTTGTAACCAACTCATACATGTAATTAGGTTGAAGGAGTTTAGTTTCTTTAATTAGTTAATTAATGGTTGTGTGGGCAAGTGTGGGCATTCCTGTGCTGTTGTGGGCATGGAGAGGACAAAGAACAACCTCAGAATCACTCAGCTTCCACCTTGTTAAAGGCATGTACCCCTCTGTCTCTGTATATATAGATACAGATATAGAGATATAGATATAGAAGTAGATGGATATCCTTAGGACATAAACAAGTCAAAAAAACAAGTTATTTAAAAAATAATTTTTAAAGATTTATTATTTTTCTTTGTGTGTGTGTGTGTGTGCGTGTGCGCGCGCACGCGCGCGCGCGCACGCGCGCGCGCGCACCATATGTGTTGCACAGGTGACTTTCAGAGGCCAGAGAGGGTGCTGAGTCCCTCTGAGGTGTTACAGGTGTTTGTAAGCTGCCTGATGTGGGTGCTAGGAACCTAACACGAGTCCTCTGGAAGAGCAGAAGGTGCTTTTAGCCGCTATAAAGATGAATCTTAGCCAGGTGGCCCACACCTTTGATCCCAGTGCTGGGGAGGCAGAGGCAGGCAGATCGCTTGAGTTTGAGGCCAGCCTGGTCTACACAGAGAGTTCCAGGACAGCCAGGGATACAGAGAAACCCTGTTGAAAAACAAAACAACAACAATAACAACAACACAACTTTTTTTTTTTTTTTTGGTTTTTCGAGACAGGGTTTGTCTGTGTAGCTTTAGAGCCTGTCCTGAAACTCACTTGGTAGTCCAGGCTGGCCTCGAACTCACAGAGATCTGCCTGCCTCTGCCTCCCGACTGCTGGAACTAAAGGCGTGCGCCACCACTGCCCGGTCATAAAAGTAAATCCTTAAGGAATTAAGTAAGAATGGCTGTTGAGATTCTGGAATATATCAATAGTTCCTCCAAAATGGGAGAAAAGAAATACTGAAATAGAAAACATGTAACCAACAACCTAGAAGCAGATGGGCTGTGTTTTCTGTCTCTGGACAGAGATACATTTAGCCATGTGCACATGGGGCTGGCCCTCTGATGGCCGCTGTGGTGGTCCTCCACATGATGCTACGTAACTCTGTCTTTCCATTTATGAGTTCCACTAGACTCACAGGACAGGGACCACATCCCAATACCCCAGGGCCTGGTATATATCCTGTTCTCCCTAGAATTTGAACTCAAGCTCAAGCTCTGGTTCTTTTTTTTTTTTTAAACTTTTATTTATTTATTTTCTGTGTATTGGTGTTTGGCCTGCATGTATGCCCATGTACCACATTCGTGTGTTACAGACAGTTTGAGCCACCATGTGGGTGCTGGGAATTGAACCTGAATCCTTGGGAAGCGTTAGTCAGTACTCTTAACTGCTAAGCCATCTCTCTGGCCCCTTGAGCTCTGATTCTTAAATTGTATCTGGTTCCCAAAGTTGTTTCTGTCCTTGGTGCCTGGACAAGGTCATGCTACCCAGAATGAATTATTTCAACAATGGGGGGTAAGAATAGATTATCTCCCTAGTGGAGTATCATGAAACCAACAACAGTCATGTTTGAAAATGTCAATGACATACGAAGATTTGGGCTTTGCTTTTAAATTTTTTCCTTATTTACTGAATGATTAAATATTTCTTTTGGGAGACAGATAACAGTGCTCTCCGCACTCGAGGCTCAGGTCACAGGCCGCCTTCTCTGTAGACCCTGCCCAGGTTTTTCCCACTAGAAGCAACCTTGCCTTGCTCGGATTTCACAGCATCTGGCTTTCTCCAGTCTCTCAAAATTTCTGCCATGGCTGTGACCACTCCACAGGCAAGCCGGTGACTTCCCTACGCGCCAGCTTCTAAGAAGATGTTCCAAGATGTTCAGGCAGACTTGGACTCACTTCCCACAGTGTGAGGGGAGATTGGGTGGCGTGGCATTGGCCAAAATGAGGCCAGGAGCGAGGTGTTTGCTGACATATTGCTGGGGCAAGCATGGGTGAGATAAATGTTATGATTATCATTGCACACTCATGTGCAAGGAGATGTTCAGGCATGGGGACCATATCGGAATCCTTGGTGGTAACAAAAAGCTGCTTTAGGAAGGTTGAGCACCGAGGCCTTCCAAATCATATTTCCGGGATGGCAGAACAATCATTCTAGAACTCAGATCACCCTGCCACTCAGTGGCCTGCTGATAATGCCTCAGTGGCCTGGCAGTCAAGCCTCCTGTGACCTCCACAGACCTATTGCCATCTCCTGCCACACTCCTCGGTACACCTCACAGAGGGAACACCTCAAAAGTCCCAGTCCACCCCCTTTGGATTCTTATTTCCTTGGATCCAGTTCATTTTCACATAGCATTCAGGATGGTCTGATACACAAACTGAATCATGCCACTTCATTACTGCATTGTAGTTGGGATGAAATTCTAGGTTTTTTGTTTTGTTTTATGTGTATAGGTGTTTTGCCTTCATGTATGTCTGTGCAGCAGTGGATGCTGTTCCCTCCGAGGCCAGAAGAGGGCATCAGATCCCCCGGGACTGGAGTTACAGGGGGTTGCAAGCTGCCATGTAAATTCTGAAAATGGACCTGGGACCCCTGGAAGAGAAGCCAGTGCTCTTAACCACATATTGCTAGCCAGGCATAGTGCCGCATGCCTTTAATCCCAGCACTCTGGAGGCAGAGGCAGGCAGATCTTTGTGAGTTTGAGGCCAGCCTGGTCCACAGAGTGAGTTCCAGGACAGCCAGAGCTATGTAGTGAGACCCTGTCTCAAAAAAAAAAAAAAAAAAAAAAAGTATAGATTGCACGCTTCTAATCCCAGCACTTGGGAGGCAGAGGCAGCTTAGTTTGAGTCTATATAATGAGCTCAAGGACATCCAGGGCTACATTGAGAGACACTGTCCCAAAAATCATTTTTTTTTTTTAATATCCTCAGAGGAAGAGATCCTGTGTGCCTTCATTGTGACACTGAGGAGGAAGGATCACTTACACGTTCTCCCAACCCTGAATGCACAGCACACACAATAACAAAAGAGCAGACGGACCAAAAGGAGAAACTGTCTATTCAAACAAAGAGGAAAGAAAGTCTATGCCACAATAAAAGATACAAGCAAGAAACCACCACTGGAGCTCCACATCATTCGTAGACTTGATTCTGTCCTAGGGGAAGATGCTGCTGAAGGTGATTAGACATGACCAGTGACAGACAGGGAGACCTTGAGCCGCCGCGTCCGCTCAGAGAGACGACGACGACGACGACGACGACGACGACGTTCATTGAAGCGAGGACGGCACTGCTGTAGGACACGGCCGCTGTATTTTCAGAGTAAACAGACATGATGTACGCGACTTCTTCTCAGAGTCCAGACTACAAGATGTGAGGACACATTACAGGTGGAGGCCGGCGATAAATCAGGCGGAACGGAACGTTTACAACGGGGAGTTTGCAGTCAAAGTACGCAGACATCTTTTTGTATCATCCTCATAACTTTTCTGTAACTTCAAAACTGCTTTCAAATCAAAAGCTAAACACCAAAATGGTCTGCAAGGTCTATGACACCATCCCCACCCAGCAGCCGGCAGGCTCGGTCCGGCCACACGGACTGCATTGCCGCTCCCCAGCACAGTAAGCGCTTTCTCCCCTTTGAGGGTCTATTATTGCCTTTCCATAGAATTCTCTTCTCCCTGCTGTGGGTCCATATCGTCATTGTCTTAACGTATTTACGATGTTCTTTCACAGAACTCTCAACTTTTTCTTCACAATATTTGTCACAGTTTATAGTGGGTATTTTGTTTGTTTTTGAGACAGGGTCTTATGTAGCCCAGGTTGGCCTCTAACTTGATAAGTAGCCAAAGATAACCTTGAACTCCTGATCCTCCTACTCCCCCTCCCAAGGGCTGGCATTACAGGTGTGTGCCACCACGCCAGGCTAAGAGTTGGTATTCAGGGAGGACTGAATACCAGTCTATCTTCCCTAGTTGTCCGGAGGCTGCCTGAAGCCAGGGCTTGGGTCTGTTCTGCTCATGAATGTGTCACCTGCACTGGTTACTGAATCTGGCGAGCACTGGGCCCTGAGTAACCAGCTGGCTGGGGAGAAGGTGAATCCCACTCTCTAAGTTCATCTCCTACCGGTTGGCAACTCTCAGAAAACACCCTGCAGTTAACCTTTAGTCCCAAGAGTTTACCCAAGAGGCACTGACTCTAAAGGAGCCCTAGACTGCCCACTGGCCACATCAGTTTGGAACTGAAGGGCCGTGGTCAGGAATGGGAACTCACCAGAGTGTCGAGGGAATGCTGCTGAACGAGCTGGGAACCTAGAAACCAAGCAGGCAAGGAGCTCGGCTCGGAGAGGCAGTCTGCTTAGAATGAGAGCTCCTTCCCTGGATAGGGGAAGTCTAAGGATGGGGCCCAGAAGACCCCGACTTAAGGAGTGAATAGGGAAGCCGAGTCTGGAGATGGAGGAGTGAGATCAGGAGCAAGAGTTGCTGCTGAAGCCAGGAGGGGAGGGACGGAGGGGAGGGATCTAACTCTTCCCACTCCATCCTTGTTCAGGACCAGCAGTCTGCTGCTGCGGGCGGGGTGGAGGAGCTTGGGAGAGAGGCTTGGATCCCGTGCTGACAGAACCTGTGCGAGCCTGGGCATCGGACCTAAGTTTCCCGGACTCCCAGCTCTGCTCTGAGGGTTTACTTTGTGGGGCGATGGCCAGGATCATGTCCTGGGAGGGAGGGCAGGACTCTGCCCAGTGACATGAACACTCATGGTAGGGAGGGCGCACAGCTTCCAGCCCGTGGAAACAGTTCCTAATGTGCACTCCGGCCACCGCTCAGCACTTTCTCCCCTGGTCCTTCCTGCAATTCAGTCCTACTTAAAAACACTGTGGGTACATCCATTTAGCACTGTCTTTACCCAAAACCTTTAACCAAGAAGAGGGCATTTGGTTTGTTTTTTCCTGAGGTGCTAGATATGAAACCCATGGCCCTTGCTCACGCCTGGCAAACACTACTTCTTTAGTTCCTCCGCTAGCATCCTTCTTAAAACTGACCTGTTTTCTCCCTATTCCCAAGGGTAAAAGTCACACGCACTGAGTCTCCCCACCTGACTGCAGTAACCCTCACGTGAGGGCAATGCTGCGCCCTGTTCTCCACTTACCCACAGTGGCACCTCCCTTCAGCCCAGCCACTCTGTATGGCCAGAAGCACACCAGGCCTCTTCCTGGGCGTTCTATTAGTGTCTGATGGTAACTTCCTACCTCCCATCTCCAGAGGAAAGACCGGCAAGTTAATGGCACTTCACAGCTTAGGAAGTACCCGCAGTCTTCTCCTCCACCCGTCACCCTCACAACTGGCCCTGTGAGGTAGATACAGTGGGTAACGACGATACTGGCCCCCATAGATCAAGCATGTACAGTGTACCCTGCTCTGAGTTAAGCAGTTCACATGTGATCTCACTTAAACTTACCAAAGCCCTGTGAAATAGATCCCGGGTCCCTACTTTACAGAAGAGAAAAATCCAGTGGTTAGAACTTGCCCCAAATCAAAGAGGTAGGAAGTCATGAAGCCAGGATCTGAACCGCAGCCTGCCTGACTCCAAAGCTGTGCTGGGAACCTTTCTACAATATTACCTTATGAAGCAACAATATTGCTTCCTAGATGATTCTACCCACTAAATTGAAGCTCAGAGAGGTAAGAGGTTCAGCCAAGGCCTCACAGCCAGGCACGGGCAGAGCTGGAGCGTTCCGATGCCATGCGCTTTCGATGCCTGGGCTTCATAAGCACTCACACACATCATTCCTGCTCAGCCCACAGGGGTGTTTCTATTCAAAATCCTTGATGACACTCACTGGGAAACCTGAGGGGTTTTGGTTTTTGTTTTGTTTTCATCTCAAAACCAATCAGGAAATAAACTGGGGAAAGAGGGAACATACGGTAACTAACGGTCCTCTAATAACTGAGGATCAAGAACATAGAGTCCTGGCTTGAAGGAACCACTGTGTCAGCTCACAGAGCAGGAACGGGAAAACTAACACAGGAAGTCAAGGTAGCTACCCTTGGGATTTGGGACCCAGTAACTGGAAAGGAGTATCACAGTCCAGTCCACTCGAGCCCCCACCCCCCATCCCGTGGCCCCTGACACTAAAATGCTTGGTACCTCTTCTCCTGTTGAGTGATTCTCACAAATCAGATAAACAAGAATGTGCCTCATGCATAGCATATTTTATAGAAATCCTAGGATGTTCGGAGAAATTATATGTTTGTAACCTAGTTTTTATATCAGCAATTTCAACTCATGATTGTGGAGTACTATAAATCTAACTGGATCTGTAAACATTTTGTTATTCAAATACTACCCAGTGACACACACTGGCGGTTTCTACCTTTTGAGTATTTAAGGCTTAGAGCTCTTTCTGTTTTTGTTTTTTTGAGACAGGGTTTCTATGTGTAGCCTTGGCTGTCCTGGAATTCACAGAGCTCTTCCTGCCTCTGCCTCCCAAGTGCCGGGATTAAAGTCGAGTACCACTACCGCCCACAAGCTCTTTTAAACTACTACTAAATGAGTTCCTTAGTTTTTAAAGTACAGGGAGTTATGAAAAATACAAAGTATGATTTTCTAGATCTCCCTAGAACTCCTATTTTTCATTTTCAAATCCTAAAAATTAGTATCTGTTGGAAATTTGAAAACTTCTGCCCCACTGGAAATTCAGAAGTCTTAATTAATAACCTTTGCCACTTGGCGCTCTCAGTCACTCAACAGGATAGAACGTGGGCCTGGAATACCCTTCCTGCATGGGTAGCATTCTAGAGAGGTCACTCAGGGATCCAGGGGCTGAGCTGGAATCACTAGCCTTACATCAGAACTTCTACGTCATCTCCGTTATGGACACAAAGTTCGCTTTCCTCCCACAGAGCATCTGCTCATTTTATTATATATATATATAAAAAAAATGTCCTGAGCCGGGTGGTGGTGACGCACACCTTGAATCCCAGCACTCGGGAGGCAGAGGCAGGCGGATCTCTGTGAGTTTGAGGCCAGCCTGGGCAAGTGAGTTCCAGGCCAGCAAAGGCTGCATAGTGAGACAAAAAATAAATAAATAAAAAACATTAAAAAATGTTAAAGTCCTATATAGTTTTCCACTGAGAAAAATGGATGTTCCTTAAATGAATGCTTTAACAAGTCACAGCTTCAGCCCCAGCAGACGCCCAGCACAGGAAGGGTTATACCAGCAGGAACTGTGGGGGCAGGCAGGCAGCTGGTTCTGCCACAGGCAGGCTGCGTGACTTAGGGTAACATCTTCAACCTCTTGGCTATTTAGTTTCCATATCTGTAAAATGTAAAAGTAACAGGATCTATGACACAGGAATAGTGTATTAAATAATCCCCACAAATTGCAGTATGTAGTTAGTAAGCCCTCAAAAGTGGGAGAGATTTCCTGGCATGGCAGGCCCAACACACTGTTAAGTCAGGAGGCAAGAGGTTGATGAAAGCCCTTGGAACCCTCAAATGGCTCATTTGCCACGGGTTCCTCAAAACAGGTAGTTTCCAGGTAGGTTTGGCAGGCTCGGGGCTGGACCACAAGTCTCCATCCATTCCTGGACTTGGGTCCTACAGCAGGAGGCGGAGCCTGATCGGAAAGGTCATTAGACCATGTGTGCTCCTCGCTTGACAGGCAAAGTTGGCACGTGTCTTCTCCAGCCAAAGGTTAATTGGCAGGCCTAGGGTCCAGAGGCCTGTGGAGGGAGGGGAGCTCCCAGGTGTTTGCTGCAGTGGTATCTCCCCACACGGGCATACCCCTACACAAGCATGAATTATGACACCCATCACAGACTCCGCAAGGGAGCACCTGGCACCTGTTGGCCAAAGCTTCAGACACTGCTCGCTGCTCACCAGGGTAGATCCTGTGGTTCCGAGGGTCGAAGGTGCCTCCCTGGGGGCCATGCCTGGCCTTTGGTGGGTAGCTGCCCTGGTGCACGAAGAGGTGGCCAAGTTGGCCCACATTCCGTTCTTTTGTATATTCAAGTTGCTTCTAGGCATCACCCAGCAGCGTCCTCAGACGCTCCTTGTTCGTGACCTGCCCCTAAGCACCACAGTTTTGGACCCACAACAAGCAAGATGGATCCATGATTTAGGGTGAAGGACAAGGGGAGAGCTGGCTGCCTACCTCCAAGTACACGCAGCAGGCGTCCAGCTCCGGAGCTCTCTCCACCCTTATGTGGTGCGAGCAGGTGACGGGATCTTGGGGCAGCTAAAGAAGACCTAAGGGCCTCACCTTCTGGGATGGGCCCGCTCACCTCCCCTTCCCCTGTGGTATCGTCCTGGGTGCCCTCTGGGCCTTGCTCCCACCTCCTGGAGCTCTGGTGTCTGGCACCGAGGAAGTAGAGCGAGCATTTGTCCGGAGGCCTCTCCTGGGAAGAAGCCTCCTGAGGGGCTCTGTTTTCAAGCCTTTCTCTTGGAGGGCTCTCCTTGTCATTCTCACTCCAGAATCCTGCAAGGAGAAAAAAAAAACATGGGGAGTCGCTCTTCTCCTTACCTGCACAAAGTCGGAAGGACAACAGGAGTCCTAACAGAGACAGCGTGGAGAGAATGTTACACACTGCTAGATTCTGTGTTTCCTTGTGTGTGCATGTTCGTGTGTGTGCAGGCACATGAGGAGGCCAAAGGGGACCCTTGGGTGTCTTCCTCGATCACACTACACATTATTTTTTGAAACAGGATCTCTCGCTGAACCTGGCGCTCACAGACTGGCCTAGGCTGGTTGTTCGGTAAGTCCTATGGTTCCAATTGTCTCCACCTCCTCAGCACTGATGTTACAAATTTGCACCACCAGTCTGGCTAGGCATGGTGGTGCACGTCCGTCATCTAAAAAAAAAAAAGCACTGACTACTCTTCCAGAGGACACGGGTTCAATTCTTAGCACCCACATAGCAGCTCACTGCTGTCTGTAACTCCAATACCAGGGGACCCAACATCCTCACCCATACATACATGAAGGCAAAACACCAATGCACATAAAAATAAATAAAAAGTGAACACACTCCTGGCCTCTTCCTGACCGACTTAGGAATCAATGGCGGCTAGGAAGGAGAAATGATGCATCTACAGACCTATCTTTCCTGCTTTTTCCCCTAAGGGGAGCCTGATTACATTCTGCCCTATTTTCCCAGGTTCCAAGCTTTGCTAGGGGGACCTATGTGGTCTCAGAAAAATAGACAGTTAACTCTGTAACCGGGTTGAGGGCTCAGGAAAAGGGTGATTAATGGATTCCTTTTACCCTCCCCAGACAACAAGCCAACAATGACACTCTTTGTTTGTTTGTTTGTTTTGCTTTGTTTTTTGAGACAGGGTTTCTCTGTGTAGTTTTGGTGCCTGTCCTGGAACTCACTCTATAGACCAGGCTGGCCTCCAACTCACAGAGATCCGCCTGCCTCTGCCTCCCGAGTGCTGGGATTAAAGGCGTGCGCCACCACCGCCCGGCAACACGAACACTAACACTCTTAGCACAAGCAGTCGTGGGGAGCCAGCTGAATTGCTCACTTCTCAGGACCCGGAAGGGAACTGCCGACTTACAGGAAGTGCTCCTTGCCCCCAAAGCCCTGTGCGTGAGGCTGCTCCTGGTCCTGCAGTAATAGAATAATGTCTGCAAATCTCTTCAATCAACCCTGGCTGTCGGGGATTGAATGGAACCTTCCCCTCAGACTCATTTATGTTGAAGTCTTAACTCCTAGTATTTCAGAAAATGGCTACATTTGGATATAGGGTCTTTAATAATTGATAACTGAATTAAAAAGTCATTAGAGTCAGCTCTAATCCCACATGATTGCTGAGGAAATCTGGATACAGAGCAAGTCCAGGAAGACCACGTGAAGACATGGAGAAAATGACTAAGGAGAGAGGTCTCTGAAGAGACCAACCTGCTAAGACCTTTTCTTAGATGTCTAGTCCTCAGAACCGTGAAAGGCACTTCAGACCTAGAAGCCCTCTGAGGCCTGTGAGTCGGCCCTGTGAACTCCAATGGTAGCGGGTGCAGCTGGCTGGCCTCTACACTCTCCTGATGGAGACGTTTCAAGTTGAGTATGCCGTGAAGGCCATGGGAAACAGTACAGCTATTAGGAGCAGGTGTAAAGAGAGTCATTTACAAACTTAGAAACGTAGAAAAACTTAACCGTAGAAAAGCTAGTCCTGTCTAAACTTCATGGAGAAGGCTCCAACAAATGCCTTTTACTGCTAACCACCATGCTGGACTCATATACAATATAGGTTTGTTGGCAGATATTCATTCATTAGCAGCCATAACAAGAGAAGATACCACAGCTTTAGATCTAACTTGGGCTGTAAGAATCCTCTAGAACATCTCACAGACAGAACAGCCAGCCTATACCTGCGTGTTCACACTACAGTGTTCTTGACCTTCGGACCAATGCCACGCTGGGGGCCTTACAGTGTGAATGACGGTGCACAGTGCCATGTGGCTGACCCATCTAGTACTTCATATGGTTACTGGGGCTGTGCCGTCGGCAAAGCCAGGCAAGCTGCAAAGACACAGCAGAACGGCTTCAGACGAAAGAAGCAGCGCGCTGCGATGGCGCTAAAGGGGCTGCATGGATAACTGACATCACGTGACAAGGTTAAAGGTCAAGCTCTTGAACTAGTGCTCAGCTGGGCTGGTGAATTAACTGAAGGAATGTTATGGGGATATTGTATCACACTGTGTGAAGATGTGTTGCTGTTTTATCTTGCCTGCCTAAGGTACCTGATTGGTTTAATAAAGAGCTGAACAGCCAATAGCTAGGCAGGAAAGAAGAGGCGGGACTTCTGGGCAGCCATAGGAACTCTGGGATGAAGAGAGGCAGAGACACCAAGGAGACACCAAGGAAGTCGGATGTACAGTATGGAGAGATAAAGAGCCACGTGGCAGAATGTAGATTAATAGAAACAAGTTAATTGAAGTTACAAGAGCTAGTTGAGGACAAGGCTAAACTAAAGGCCAAGCTTTCATAATCAGTAAAAACTCTCTGTGTCATTATTCAGGAGCTGGTGGTCCCAAAAGAAAGTCTGACAACAAAGGAAGACATAAGACTGGAACTGGAGGCCGGATATCCTTGAAGACCTGTCTTTGGAGGCCTGTGTTAGCCAGCCAGACCTCATGTCCCAAAGGATCCATGGCCTCCGAAAACAGTGCCCGTGAGCTGCTTCTGCCGGGTGCTGTTTCAGCACCCAGGAAAGCAGCAAGAGACCAAGTCAGTCTCAGGATGACAAAGGGTGATCATCATAAAAAGGCTTGGGGTGGGGGCGGCAGAGATGGCTCAGCGGTTAAGAGTGCTTACTGCTCTTCCAGAGGACCTGGGTTCGGTTTCCCCCGCACCTACATAGCGGCTCACAACTGCCTGCAACTCTAATTCCAAGGCAGCCAAGGCCCTCTTCTGGCCCCAAGGGCACTAGGCACACACATGAAGACAAAAAGTTCACATACAGAAAATGAAATAAATGAATATATTTTTGTAAAGAGAGAGAGCGCGAGCCCTGGAGAGATGACTCAGCAGTTAAGCCTGGTGGTGGTGCACACCTTTAATCCCAGCACTTGGGAGACAGAGGCAGGCCGATCTCACAGTGAGTTCAAGGCCAGGTTGGTCTACAGAGCGAGATCCAGGACAGCCAGGACTGTTACACACAGAAACCCTGTCTCAAAAAAAAAACAAAAACAAACAAACAAACAAAACAACAACAACAAAAAACCACTGGCTGCTACTGAGTTCCATTCCCAACACCCACACGGTCACTCACAAGCATCTGGAATGCTGACTCCAGGGAACCTGGCACCTTCTCGTCTCCACAGGCTCCAGGCAAGAAAGTGGTGCATGGGCGGACACACATGCAGGCACAACAGTCACATACATAAAATCAAATTATGTTAATTATTAAATTAACATAATATGGTAATTAAATTAACATAGTTATGTTAATTTAATATGCTAAAATTAAATTAAACATACCTTCAATCCCAGCACTGGGAGGCAGAGGCAGGAAGATCTCTATGAGTTCAAGTCCAGCCTGGTCTACACAGTGAGGCCCTGTCTCAAAAATGAAGAAGTAAATGAATAAATCCTTGGAATCTGAGATGAGTCTTTCCACCGGCACTGGCTAGAGGCAAGTACCATCATCTGCACAGACACTGAGTCTCGACTGGCTGGGTCGTAAGTGCCAAGCACAGAACAGCATGGACTGCCGCCCGGGTTTGCTTGGGAGCCTTGTCACGCCCTGGTCCCTGTGGGAAAGTCCACTGTTGATCTCCAGCATGTTGCTTCTGATGTACAAATAGGCCTCCAAGCATCAGGTCTTTTTTGGGGGGTAAACTGTGAGGTGCAGCTTGATGTTTACATTGGAGGACACATGTTTACAAATCTTAAACTGCCTAATTCACAAAACTCGAGCCCTGGAATTTGGGGGGACACATGTTCTTCCTTGGTTGCCAAGGATGGCCCTTCTGTGGATATATACTCTCTATGGAGAAAAGGCCAGGATGTTGGCTTCATACCAAACGCCAAGAGCCATATTGATTTGCTCTGAGAAAGATGTACTTGACGTGGTAGCTGCAATCGGGGTCATCACCTGATAGAGTCTATAGTTATTTCGACCATTCTCCAGAATCCGAATCATTTCTGTCCAGGCCAGACTGATAGATATAAATGCCACTGCCCTTGCATTCATCTCTGTGTTTTCCTCAGCGCCGTGGTCTTTCATGGGTCTTCTAGAGAGAATCTTCCAAACCTTTTATTCAACCTTCCCCTGCTCCCATATTGGCCCTCAGTCTGTGGGTCACAGGGCCTCAGTGGGGATTCAGTTTATTACTTTTCCAAGTTCTTCTAGTACCTTCTTTAAGATTGATCATGGGCACAACTAGATGGTTCACAGAGCGTAACATTAAGTGTGTCAGCAGAGGGCGCTGGAAGAACATCGCAAGAGGAAGTAGCTGGTCTGCCTGGTTCTAGTCCTGCTGAGCTTTACATTTCTCTTGTCTCTGGAGGCAGTTTGGCTGGGCCAGTAAATGGGGACATCCTGGCGGTCCTCTGCCTCACACGGACGGACGTCTGGGACAAAGAGCCCCAGGGAGGCTGCAGGTCCCTTACCAGGCTTCCTCTCCCAACATGCAAAATCCAGACCATATACTGCATTTGCAAGCACAGATTTCTGACGCTTAGACATCTTTGCACACACACTGCACCTTGACCTTGATGCTGCTTTCTCTATGCAGAACGGTGGCACAGCAGTCTTTCCCCAGAGCTTGGTTTCTATAGCAACGGTCTTAGAAGCACCGGACTACCTGTGTGTCTGGCCGCTCCTCCCAGTCCTGCACTCTTCACTGCTTGAGTCCTGTCCTGACATGTCTTTCCAAAGTGTTTGATCCCTTGCAGCAGGGCTGGGAAAGACACGCATGCATTCCCCAAGCAGATCCCATGGGGGACGTCAGTCTAGTTCTGCTAGAGTCCC